ACAGAGGAGCCACAAAAAGCCACAAAAGGCACGAAAACAGAGCCCAGAGCAGCTTGGCAGGAGCACCAGCAAAACAGGCRATTTGGGATTGTGACCCTGTTGAGTGGATTTATGATTAAAGGTCAGAAAAATGGATSCAAACTCTCAGTCCAGTCCACCCCTGGCTTCTCTTGCTGGCGTGAGGCTGCAGGTGCCAGCTCCCATGCAGACGTGAAAGTGAGTGATAGAGAAGTGACAGGGAGGCAAGGGGCACCAGCGTCTGCTTTGTTCCTTTGTCTTCAGTCTCCCCCAGACTGGCAGACCCTCAGTTACCTGCTCATGTCCCCACGCTCTTGTTACCGACAGCTTTCCACTGGTGCCCGGATCCCATACCTGAGGATGTGACCCTGTTGGACCTTGTAGATGTTGTGAGTTCTAAGAAGGTTTTGGGGTCCAGGCCTTCTTGAAGTTCTGATCAGCTGCTCTGCTTTCCTGTCACTCCGTGTCTTTGTTCTGGGGACTGCACCGTCAACAGGAGCAGTCTTCTCCCCCTGCACACAGTGTGCCTTCAGAACTTCACGCTGTTGGACACAGCTCAGGCCCCAGCATCACCCCTGCATCTCCACACCTTAGACACTTGAGCAGCCAGGTGCACAGGAGAATCAGAAGCTGGTTGTCTGCACATGAGCGCAGCCCCCAGCCATGTGTTGAGACAGAGAACAGGTTAGAAAACCAGAGACTCAGAAACAGATGACAGGAGCAAAGACACAGAGAAATACAGACAGAAAGATACAGAGACAGACAGTAGACAGAAACAGACATAGAGACACAGACGTAGAAATACAGAACAGAGATATATGCACAATACAGAGATGGGGAGAGAGAGAACAGAAACAGAGACACAGACATAGAGATAGAGGCCATAGTCCAATGACAGAGCCGGAGACACAGAGGACACACGGCTACCCCCGATGCTGTCCAGGCCTGAGCGGCTCTCCGTTAATGAGCGGCTCTCCGTTAACGAGCGGAGATGACAGGTGTCTAAGATCCCTACCTACTGCCCCTGGCTTGTGCTCCCAGATCTCASGGCGCTGGGTGACCCAGTGGCATCGTGGTGCCGCTCATTAGGAAGCCTGCGGACAGCCCCACTGCTGCCTGTTGTCAGCCCAGTGTGCGTCTTGATCACTGTGCCTGTCAGTGCTGCCTCCRGGCTATGAGGCACATGGAGAAAGCGTGTGTGACATGGTCAAAAGATGTCCCAATTTGAGTTTCCTGATTTGATTCCAGTCCTTGGCATAAGAGAATACCTGATGAGTGTGAGGGGCCAGCCTGCAGCCCAGAGTCTCGTGCACTCGGTGTGACCTGTGGGACTCGGGGACCTCCAGGTCTCCCTAGCCGTCTGAACCCTGGTGTGCAGTCTGGGTAGGAGACGTCCAGGGATTCAAAAGGAGGAGGGCTGATGTTGGCTTTCGCACCACAACTGGGTCGAGCTGGCAGCAAGGAGAACTGCTCCCTCAGTGAGTTCACTGCTGGGCGGTTGGGAAGCCATGTGAGAAGAGGCCCCRGAAAGGTGCTTTGGTCTGTCCTGCAGAGTTTGGAACCTCTTCCTTCCCAGCCACTGTTGCTTTTGTGAACTCTCTGAGTGTGCTTCTAATTATAGYCATTGATTTCTCTGACATAACTTCCATAGCACTGTGCAAGCTGTTGGAAGACAGGGCATGTCTGAATTATTGTTCTCCCCTATAATACAGAGCTGAGCACACAGCAGCAGGAGCATGTGATCCTGCTAACGGTGGGCATGCTGCAGAGGGTGGGGATGTTGCAGACGGTGGGGATGCTGCATAGGGTGGGGAGGCTGCTGAGGGTGATGGTGGGGATGCCGCAGAGGGTGGGCATGCTGCCGAGGGCGGTGGTGGCCTGCTGTGGATAGCGGTGGGGATGGTACCGAGTCTGAGATGCTGCTGCTGATGAGGATGATATTAACAATCTGGGGCATGTGCTAAGCCAGATACTTTTACCTAGGTTTTCCTCATCTTTCTGGCTGCTTTTAAAGAAGACAGAGTTGTTTTTCCAGTGCTTCCAGCAGTGAAAATGTGACTGATTGGCTGGAGTGATGCAGGCTGCACCAGCATGCTGATGGCCGTCGGTCTTCTAAGGAGCTGGCTTTCCAGAGGCTGTTTGCCCCTGTGGCCAGTGGGTTCTGTCTCTTAGTGAAGATAGCTGGGGTAGAGGATTACCTGGAGCAGTGTATCCAGCTGACATCTCAGCGAGGGTGGGCACAGCTGTCCAGTGCTTCACACACCAGCCGGACCACACCAAGGAGGCCCCTGGATTCTCTTCCATGCAGTTGGGGACTTCCTGTGCCTGTGTCCCCACCATGTACCAGATACAGAAACTGGCTTCTAGGTTGTTAATTTCCGGTTTTGTGTAGTTTCCATTTAAAAAACAATTCAGCATTATCTCAAGAAACCCCACATTTTAGATAAGTTGAGACTTAATGCAACTTCAAAATAGAGGCTGTGAGCAAGTCAGAACTTTAAACTCAAAATGCTGAAATTAGAGGAAAAGAGACGGGCCCTCAGGGCCTGGGGGCCTTCTGCTGCCCTGTGAAGCTGGGGTATGAGGAGGGAAAGTAGGGTGGCACTGGCATGCTCCCAGATGGCCAGGGGCTGATGCCAGCACCTGCCACCCCAGCAGGACTGCAGCCCAGGCAGCTCCCAAGCCAAGCACCTCCCTGTTGGGATGGGAGGCGTGGGAGGAGCATCCTCACTGCTCCTCCTCCCAACCCTGGCACAAGCCCTGGCCCTGAGGTGGAGGTCACCCCACGAGGCACCTGGGCATTTCTGTYACCTCCGTAGCCTCTGCTGCTGCTGAGAAGGTCTCTTTCCTCCTCTTCCTCTTGAGTAGACTTAGAGCCTCAACAAACCAAGATCAGGCTGCCTACAAGCCCCAGGCACAGTGCTGTGCTCCTCCTCTGCCTGGAGCTGTCCTCAGTGACTTTCATCAGAGGCCCATCAGGGGGGGGGCTTCAAGGAAGGCTGTGGTGACCAGCTGTGTGCAGACACTCACAGGCCAATGACCAGGCATTTGGATGCAGACACCCAGCCTCCGGCACYGTGAACCAAATGGCCATTCAGGGGCAGCCTCTGGTAGTGGGTCCAGGCCAGCCTCTAGTGATGCTGAACTCACTTGGGGAGGTGGCGGGCTGTGGGCAGTGCTGTCTGCGAGCTCTCTTCCCYACCGATGCCCCCTCTCCTGCTTCTCTCTTCTCCAGGAAGAGCAGTTGATTCACCTAGTCCTCAGACAAGACTCAATAATTTGGATGACAGCTAAAGTCACATGATTTTGGAAATAGTAATAAGCAATAAAAAATGTTAGAGATGATATCCAAGTTCCCTTCTTTGATAGAAGAAACAGTCTCAAAGGGTGAAGTGATGTCTCAAGTTCATGCACGAGAGCTGAAACTAGGCCCCACGTCTCATTTCAGAGCTCCACCTCCTACACCACATCTAYCCCTGGAGGGGGAGCCCAAATAAGGTGGAGAGCATCCAGACCTGGAGTGTCAACTCTGGCCCTGCCCCTACCTAAAGGCCAGGCACCCACACCGACCACATGGACCAGGGGCCCCAGGGGCATGAGGAGCGCAGGAATGGATGTGATTTGAAAAGGGGTGGCCCTGGACACACAGTGCGGGAGGAAGCTCCGGAGGTGCTCCCAGGATGGCCTTCAGCTCTCAGGTTCTCAAAGCTGGAAGCTGCTGTGCTGGGTGTGTAGTGTGGGTGGAGTGGTAGAGTAGAACACTGAGACATCTAACATTTTCACAGTTGTCAACCACTGGGACTGGGCTTTTCTAGTTGCAGAAGCAAAGTGTAAAGAGGATGCATCTGCCTGCGAATACCACTCAGTGCAGAGAAAACACAGGYTGCGGCCCAGGAAAGACTGTACTGGGCAGGGTATCAACTAGTAAACACAGTGTGGCTGTCCGAACTCGGGGAGGCCCCGACTGCTTCTCTGTGCGAGGCTGGAGCCCTTCAGGTAGTGACAAGCGGAGCCAGAATGCAGCCAACACCCACAGAGAAGCAGCTGGAGCCTGCTGAGGGTGGCTGAAGGAGAGGGGCAACTGCAGAAGGCTACAGGGTCACAGTAAGCTCCCTGCAGGGGGAGAACATGGAGAGACGTTCCAGCAGAATTCTCTAAAGGCAAACAACAGCACATTTCCTAGCCTCTAGAATGGGGGTGTGGGGAGGTCCAGCCTTCGATTTCTCTGCAAGGTTCATGCAGCTGTATTAGAAAGCTAGTTTTGCAGTCTTTCAGAAAGTTAAGGCATTAGTGTCTGGCCTGGCGATTTCACATCCTAGGTATATGCCCCAGGAAATGGAAGATGTGTGTCCGTCCMAACACCCCTACACAAATGCTCATGCAGCGTTATTAAGAGTAGCCCAGGGGCTGGGGTTGTGGCTCAGTGTAGAGTGCTCACCTAGCATGTGCAAGGTGCTGGGTTCAATCCTCAGCACCACCTAAAAAGAAATAAATAAAATAAAGGTATAATGTCTAATTACAGCTAAAGTATACATATATTTAAAGAACAGCCCAAACTTGAAGGCAACCAAGTGTCCATCAGCTGATATGTGGATAAGCAAATATGATGCATACACAGAGGGACCCTCTGCAGCCTCAAGGAGGGACATCCTGGTGGGCCTCACCTGGGTTGCCTGAGCTGAAGGGAGAGGGACGGAGTGCAGACAAGGTTGATTCAGGGGGCGTTGGAATGTTCTGGAATCAGTGGTGATGCTGTTGGGTGACGTCACGGCCTGTGGGTCATCTCTCGGTGAAGCTGTTGTGAAGAACCAGGGCTGGGATGTCTACACGGCATGATCTGGTCAGCACCGCGAGATCCTGGCTTGGACTCACCCCCAGAGGTATCTGGTGCCTTGGAAGGACTTAGGAAGGGCCCAAGGCCTTCGAGTGTGTGGCTGACATGGATTCTCAGCTGTTGCCTCTTTTGCTCTTCTACCCTCAGGGTAAGGACCCCTTCCCCGAGAGTGTCCTGACCTACGTGGCCCACACAGCTGCGCTGACCTACCCTCCCATGACCCGAGACAAGGATCCTGAGAACTTTCCACTGCGGACCCTCGGCCGGCTGCAGCCAGATGAGCTCAGCCCCAAGGTGGACAGCACTGTGGACAGACAGCACTTGATGGCCGCTCTCGGAGCCTATGCTGCCCGGAGGCCCCCTCTGGTCCCCCAGGAGGGTGACCCAGATCCACAGTACCTTCTGCAGGACCCCTCAAGAGTGCCCAGGCCCCTCTGGGTGGCAGCGCCCCCTCAGAAGTGGCCCTCGTCTCCAGAAGACCCCAGAGGCCCCCTGAGYGCGGATGATGGTGAGTGACTTGTTTTGCTGGCCGCCTCACATGGCCAGTTTCCCTGCCTCTTCCCACGCCAGGGGTCTCCCTGTCAGTGCTTCCCTCCTCGGGCGGGTGCAGCAAGGAGGCAGAGTGGGACAGAGGGTTCCCTGGGCATCCTCAGCCCCTCGGTGTGGTGGTCCCGCTGCCTGGGAGGGCTGTGGCCGGCTGTGGGCGAGGTGCACATCCTGCAGATGGTCTGCTCGGTGCAGTCCTTTGCCTAAACGCATCATTTTATCCACGAGGCTGACATGGGGCATGGCATGAGGCTCACGGGATGGGTCTGGCCTAGGTGTGCTGTCGGCCTTGTGTTCCAGAAGACTGAATAGGAGCACTGTTCCGTGTCACACCTTCCCCGTGGCCTGACCTCACATGCTGTCCTCGGAGCTCCCACCTGAGGTCAGCACCACTCACAATGCACACGTATAGTGTGGCCTCGACGTGACTGATGGTCGACACCGATCATCAGGATCGTAGTGATATGTGACCTGGTGTAACCGACCGTCGGCAGGTGCCGTGGCTCCTGCTGCTCTGCGGCACCTGGAAGGCTCTGGCCGTGCCCTCCCCAGCAGCCTCCTTCTGAGGCCAGCTGGCTTGGGGCTCTGAAACCCAGACCACGCAGGTGACGGCTTCTCTCCCGCTGTCTTGGGGAGAAGGCCCAAACATGGCCACCCTGCAGGCCCTGCTTTCCGSCTGGGGGCTCGCCCTCACACGCTGGCTGCCCGTGGCCACTGTGGCAGTCTGTCAACGAGCAACGTGGAGTCACAGTTTAGGGGACAGGACCCCCTTCTCATTCCTGCCCTGGGGAAGCTGCATGAGATGCTCAGCTGAGAACTGCTTATGCAGACAGGTGTCCTCAGCTGCTTTGTCCAACGAGGTGGTCAGCCTGCCCCGGGCCGCACTCACCCTTGGGGCTCTCACCTGTGGTCAGTCTGGCTGCCCTGAGGAGTCCTGTCCTTGTCCCCACTGCTTTCTGCACTGGTCTTGTTTGCTGGGCTCTTGGGTGCCTCCCGACTCACCTCACCACCCCACAGAGGTCCCTCAGCTCCTCCTCTGCACCTCCGAGCCCTCCGGGGCCTGCTGCACCTTCCCTGCACCTTCAGCCCTTCCTTCACTCCTGCTGTGGCCACCCTGGGTCATGGTGCTCTGTCTGACCTCCTCCCACCCCACTCCCATAATCCAAAGAAACCCCATTTATTCACAGCCTCTGTCTTAGCTGTTGGACATTGGGAGAGGCAGATAATGCGACCCCCACCAGGGGACGTGATTCTCACAGGAGAGCACGTGTCTTGGCCAACAGAAGGTAGCCTTCTCCTGCGCCTGGCTGTCCCTGATGCCAGGCGGGCTCCCTGCCCCTCCACCTGCTTCCTTGGCACCTCCCTTCCTCTTCACACCCTGAGGTGCCATCTCTGGGAGTGTGCTTCTGGAAACACCCTCCACCGTCCAGTCCCGTCCCTTACCAGTTGCTGAGTCTGCTGGGCATTGTCCCTCAGCTGCCTTGCAACATCCGTTATCTTCCTATCCGTACTGTCTTCCTAGTGCTCGCATGCTTTCAGAAGCACTTTGTAAAATGTCAAACACAATAGAACTGTGCAAGGAAACCCCGTGCCTGCCTGACCCACTTCAACACACAGCACCCCTGGACCCTGGCTGCAGGCCAACTCCCCTGCACCCCTGCACGACTCTGACTAGCAGATTCAGTCACCAGATCACTTCCTCTGTCAGTTTCTCAGCAGTGTATAAAGCAGACCACAGCAGTTCCATCCCATCAAGATTCATAACAGTGTTAACACCTCCAYGTCTTTTCGGTGCTCAAATTTCCCAATTGTCATGCGTTTTTCTCAGTTGGTTTTTTAAAATTTTTGTTCTCATTAGTTATACATRACAGTAGAATGTCATGTATATCAAAGGAACCAACTGGGAGACATACATGGAGTGTCACTTCCCATTCTTGTGGTTGTGAATGATGTGGAATTACATTTATCATGTATTCATCTATGCACCCAGGAAAATTATGTCCGATTGATTCTACTCTCTCTCCTATTCCCATTCTGGCTTCCTTCATTCCCCTTTGTYTAATCCAAAGTACTTCGATTCTTCCRTACCGTCCCCCACCCTTATTGTGAATTAGCTTCTGCCTATCACAGAGAACATTTGSCCTTTAGGTATTTTGGGGATTGTCTTCTTTTACTTAGCATGATAGTCTCCAGTTTCATCCATTGACTGGCAAACACCATCATTTCATTTCTCTTTTTGGCTGAGTTATATTCCATTGTGTAYATAGACCATGGTGGATATTTCTTTATGCATTCATCTGTTGAAGGGCACCTGGGCTAGTTCCGTAGTTTAGCWTTTGTGAATTGAAGTGCTATAAACATGAATGGGCTGCATCACTGTAGTTTGCTGATACGGAGGAGTGGGATATCTGGGTCAAATGGTGGTTCCATTCCAAGTTTTCTGAGAAATCTCCATACTGCTTTCTAGAATGGTTGCACCAATTTGCAGTCCCATTAGCAGTGTATGAGTGTACCTTTTTCTCCACATCCTCACCAACATTTATTGTTAATTGTATGCTTGATAATTGTCCTTCTGACTGGAGTGAGATGAAATCTCAGTGTAGTTTTAATTTGCATTTCTCTAAATTGCTAGAGATGTTGAACATTTTTTTGTATATTTGTTGACCAATTGTATTTCTTTGTCTATGGAAGTGCCTGTTGAGTTCCTTTGCCTGATTGTTAATGGGGTTTTTTTTTTTCGGTGTTTTTTGAGTTCTTTGTATGTCCTGGAGATTGATTCTGTACCTGAGGTGCGTGTGGTGAAGATCTTCTCCCATTCTGCAGGCCCCTTCATGTCCTTGATTGTTTCCTGTGTGGTGAAGAAGCTTTTTAGTTTGATTCCATCTCCTTGTTCAATTTTTTTAATATTCATTTTTTAGTTGTCGTTGGACACGACACCTTTATTTTATTTATTTATTTTTATGTGGTGCTGAGGATCAAACCCAGGGCCTCACATGGGCTAGGCGAGCCCTCTGGCCCGGCCCTCATGGTTGACTTTTTAAGTTTACTTCTTGCTCTTTAGGAGCCCTGTTAAGGCTGGTTCCTAAGGACATGATGGAGAGTGTCAGTTTCTTCTATTAGGGGCAGGGTCTCTGGTCTAGTGGCAGGTCCTTGGTCCACTTTGAGTTCTGTGCAGGGTGGGAGATAGGGTTTAATTTCCTTCTGCTACCTATGGCTTTCCAGTTTTCCCAGCACCACTTGTTGAAGAGGCTGTCTTTTCTCCAGTGCACATTCTTGGCGCCTTTCTCTATATTTATGTGGGTTGTCTCTGTGTCTGTTCTGTACCATGGTCTACATGTCTGTTTTGGTGACAAGACCCAGCAATTTTTAGGGTGACTGTGGCTCTCCCAGTTGGTTCCGTTGAAGCTGGATCCACAGAGGGACATCTGAGTTGACAGCTCTATCTGTACAAGGTTTCTCCTCCTCTTTTTTCTTTTTTGCAATTTTTTTTTTTTCAGAAATCATCGATCTCAAGTTTGGGGCTTTATTTTCCCCACATGTGGATTTTGCTGATTGCTTCCCAGGGACATCTAACGTGTTCCCCACTGTGTACTCCAAGTTCAGCGGAAGGTCTCTAGGGGTGTTCTGTGCCTCCCAGGAGTGGTAGGGCTGGCTGGGTCTCCCCCGGCCTCCCTGGGAGGTTCTGGTGTCACGGCGCTCACTGCTCATGGAACCAGGCGGACTCACTGGGCCGCCTGTGTGGACGGTGCATGTCTGCCTCTCCTGAGTGTGATGCAGACAGCAGACCTGCCAGGGCCTCCACTGTCCCCTGGACCTAGTGTGTGCCACCACCATGTCTGCAGAGTGAATGAGGGACCAGAGCAGATGGGCAGCATCAATCCCCTCTTCAGTCAACCCCAGAGATGCATTATTTCAGCCTCATTTTCCTCAAGAGGAAACAAGGTGGAAGGCTGAATGATGACACCTGACTGGGGTGCAGACTGCTTCAGAGAACGTCGGAGCCCTAGAGACCCCCCAGCTCACATGCAGATTTGAGCACAACTTATTTTGCTGCTCCGGCTAGTTGGTTTCTGCTCTGGAGTGTAGAATGGCTGTTCGGCTCCAGATCCAGTTTCCTTGACCTGTTTTTTCCGTGTCAAGTTGTGCACTAAGACCCTTCCTAGTGCATTGGGGCAGTGGGRGCTGTCTCTGTACTGCAGCCTGCAGCCCTGGCGGTCAAGCGGGCACCCAGAGCCTGGAGCGGCCACTGAAGGAATGCAGTGCTGCAGAGCTTCTGGGCAGAGGGTGGCCAAGGCTGGGATGAAGGGTACTTCTCTACAGGATGGAGTTAAAGGGGAAGCATGCCCTGCACCTGAAGATGAGGCTTTCCTAGACCGCGGTGGGTGCAGTGTGCTGTGGGAGATAAGGGCGCTGCAGAGGCACCCAGGTCACACACCCAGTCTTTCCCGGGATGTGGGCAGCACCATCGGAGATGATGTTCTGGAGCCCTGTCAGCAGGTTAGACAGACTAAAGGTATCCATAAGGACAGAAACCCCCAGGAAGACCTGGGGAGGCCCCCAGCCCACACCTCAAAACTCAGTCTCACCTGGAARGTAACGCAAGGGAGTCTGCAGCAGATCCAGAGAGCACTGTGCCAGCACCCCTCCCCATGGCTCCCTCCCAGCCTTGTGTTCTCACAGGTTTGTCAGGTGGGTAAGGATGGAAGGCCCCAGTGACTCAGTCCTGGATTCCCAGGAGGCAGATATGCAGCTGGGAGGGTCCTGTGTGGCTCAGAAAGAGGCTTCCCACAGCTCTGCCTTCAACCAGCAGTGAGGGGAAGCCCACCCATGCCCACTCCTCTGTGCCAGCACCAAACCCATGTGGGAGCTCACCCCTCAGAAAATCCATCAGAGATGGGGGTTTGGGAGGAGGAAAGCAGGTGTTCTTGAGGATGCCACCAACCTGCCAGGAGGTTTAGGGGA